TGACCAAACAGAAGTCCCTTTATCCCACCTATCTTCAAAGCTTTTATACCTCTCTTGATAGGCTAAAGCACACTCCTGCAACATCAACACATCCCCCTCTCTCTGCTGGAGGTAATCAAAGACAGACTTGCATTTAACTCTGTCATTGATACCTCTGGTGTTAAGAGAAACTATGTTTAGAGCCATTATACATAAGAAAGGCTAACCAGTCTTTACAAAACACATTTCTCTTCTGTCTCACCTGTTACCTTCTACTGTTTCTTTATCTTCTTACCAATTTCCTCTGAATGAGCCTTCATCAGGGTGGCAGCAGCAAAAGCATTCACAGAGTCAGTTTCAAGGAAGGGGGTAGAGGGAGGGGTGGAGGGGTTCCAGCTGTCCCCATCGCCATGCTCTCCTTCCTCCTCGCTTGGGGAGAAAACAAAGTCATTTTTCCTTTTCCTCAAGTCCAATTCCGGGGAGCACTAAGGGGAATGGGGTGCAGCCGATGCACCAGTCTCCTCTTTCCCCTCACCCACCACCTGCAGATCCTCCGTGATGGACTGGATGGAGGAGAAGAGGGCCTCTGTAGCACTTGCAGAGCCTGAGAAAAGCAGCTCCGCTGAATCCTGGGCGTCCTCGCTGGACCCGCTCCACCGGGGGGCCCCACACTGGCCCTCGTTCTCAGGAACAGGAGTGGGGGAGGGGTCCTCGCTGTTCTTGGGGGTTTTCAAACCCTGGTGCTTGTCTGGTGCAGTCTGCGGTTGTGGGCTCATGGTGGATTTCTCTTCCATTGGCCCCAGAGCCACAGCAGGACTGATCCTGGCTGGAGGCTGAGTCTTTGTCCAACAAGGGTTCTCTGATTGATTTGTCATTTGCTTTGGCTTTTCGGGCTGGTTTGGCTGAAACAAGCACTACCTCGTCCTTTTTCATTTTGAGTTTATTGGCGTAGGCGTGAGGGCAGTTCTTAAAAACATGTCCTTCCAAGCCACATAAATTGCACTTTGTAGGCTTTAAACAGTCAGAGGCTAAATGTCCCTGTTTGCCACAGGTCTTACAGCATTTTACAGTGCAGGACGATGCCAGGTGTCCCACAGCACCACAGCGCCGACACACCTTTGGCTGTCCCACATAAAAAACATAGCCGTTGCAGGCACTCAGCCGGATTGTAGAGGGCAGGTGCCTTAAGCCTCCATTTACATTGTCCGGTAGCAAGTGCACCTCGAATTTCCTTGTTCCTGTTTTTATACCATCAACATCTCTAACCTCAGTTTCATGGTGGACGGTGCAGTAATGTTTAAGCCAGGTGCGAATGTCCTCTGTCTTTGCCAGTTCTGAGAACATAACAACATGCACTGTTTTCCTCTCTCTCTGTCAGAGGCTGCATGTGGATCTTCTCAAGGGCAGGAACTTTCCCTCTTTTTGCCTCAAACACATCCACACATTGTTCAAACAG